CCTTGCATTAGTTTTTATTCGGTGTTTGTTATACACCGTTAGCAGCATAGGCGTAGGCATCGGTCGGTAACCGGAGCGCGACCGCCCACCTACAGACCGCGGCAATAAAATGGATTTATCGATGCCGCAAAATGGCGGCTCCTTGCCCGGCTCTCGGCCCTGCTCGTACTTCATTTTGCCGATATTAAATGCTGTAAATTCAGGCGGTCGCTACTTTCCCTCCTCCCTCTCCTCTACTCTTGCCACCCCCTCATTTTTCGTTTCGCCCAGCAGTTTTTCCTCGCGCCGGAAACGAGGAAAAGGGCGGTTGAAAAGAATCGAAAGAAAAGAGAGAGGAGAGTGAGAGAGAGAGAGAGAGAGAGAGGGAGGGAGGGCAAAAGAGAATTCCAGCGAAAAGTTTCGGACGTCCTTAATCCGCGTCCTCGAGGCTGAATCCTGGTCAGAAGATTCCGTGGAAAACCGTGGTTCCTCGGGAAACCACGGAAATCAGGGAGCTCCCTCCGTCGAAGATTCACGGCTGAGATCCACCCTTTGAAATTATTTCTGTATCCGGCTCCGAGTTCCCGCTCTTTCGCGGATTAAAATTGGAACGGGCGGATGTCGCTTCGATTAGTTTCCTTGCGACGGGCGAAGTCTGAAAACTATGGAATGATTAATGTTTATTATGAATATTGCAAGATCGATTTTCATTTGAAGAGGAACTTTGGAACAGCCTTTCAGCGGGGATGATACGGTAACTCGAGGAATTATTTAGGCAGAGAACCGATGCTCCTTTCCGGCGCTATGAAATTGGAGCAGTGTATCTGCGGGCCGGCACAATGTCAGCGGGACGCATTCCCCGGTTCTCTCGTTTCAGTGAAAGATGGCGTGGAACCGCGGCGGCGTGAAAGCGGACCGAAAGAAAGGTTCCGCGGGGTCTTTCATCGGCGCCAGCCACGTCAGCCCGGCTTCCTCCGCCGCGGATGGTTCACACGTCGTAACTCATCCGGAGCGGTCCGATATTAGAAAGATGACATATCGTCACGTATTGTGAGCCGCCGGTGAAAAGGAACTTCAGAAGTCGCTGCTTTCACGCGAACCCGCCCGCCGATCCTCCTCAACCCCTAACCCAGAGCTCCGCCGCGACCCGCCGCTACATCTAGGACACATTATTCGCAGTGTAACGCGACGGAACCGTGGGGCGTGCCGTCGTAAAGATACATTAATCCCGCGACAGCCGCGTCTTTTATGGAAATACTCGGGCGGAAACGCGAACGGCTCGTCGGAAACGCGCGATATGGTGCTCGAGGACGACGCACACCGGGGCCGCTGCAACTTTAACCCCTGCAAATTAATCCTTAAAGGAAATTGAATACGAAAAGGTGATCGCCGATTCCCTTCGCCGTTTCGCGAACGTTACGCTTGACAATCGAGACCCCGTTTCGAACGATAATCGGCGACGGACACGGTCCTCCGCGACGGATCCTTCGAAATTCGATGGAACAGTGTTTCAACCCTTAACCCTTCGCGGTACGATTTAATCATGAGAAACTGCGAATCATCTTATTTTTATTAAACACGACGCGGTCTTATGGTTCACAGGTTTTGGTAATTAACCCTTTGCGCTCGGAAGTATGAAGATAACATTTACATTTACAGCATCGTTCGCTGAGATTCACTTGAACACCGACTAGAAAATAGAAATTTCGACTGTTCTAACGCGTTCGAATCTGCACAGATGAATTCTAAGAACTTGAAACGAATATAAAATCTCAAGTTCTTTATTCGTTCGATATACCACGCCCTGTCGGGAACCAAAGTGCCATCTCTACGAGCAGAGCCCGGGTAAAATAATATTATCACGGTACCGTGAAATTTCATAAAAGAGTTCCACACACTCGTTACATTTCTTTCTGTCCGCGGACGGGGTCGGAATTGACCCCCCCTACGGAATAATAAGATCCGTTCCTCGGGGGTAGGAACAGTTATATGACAATATTTTTCTACTTTTTCCGACGGAAAGTACTTTACGATGTGTTTAAAGGGACGAACAGGCATTTATGTAAACGAAGAGAACCTGCAAGAAGTACGTTCGTTCGGAGTAACTTTCGTTTCGTGTTTCATGTTTCATGTTCCACATTTCATTTCCCATAGTTTTTCCCCGTAGTGTCTTCAGTTCGAGTCCTTGTTTCGCGTTCGTTCGATCGTAGAAGTGTTCCTGCAGGATATCGCATTCAAGCTAACGATACAGAACCGACGCCACCCTTACAGTAACATATTCAAGGGTAGAACTTAGCAGAAACGCCGAATCTCTAAGAATTCCACGAGCGAAACGTATCGACTTCCGACGAGCGTCGACCTTATCGAAACAACCACTCGATTCAACTAAATACAATCTGCGTTGAGCGTCGCAGTTAGTTACGGCGAATGCTCTGGCTCAGTTTCAGATCAGTGACGCCGAGCCTGAATGAAATAATGAGATTTCCGATGAGTTGTAAGTGGATCGATGTTGATACGTTGAGTTGTGGAACTCTTCGTTAGATATTCCGTTGATTCGTGTTGTTTGTGGAACTCTTGATGAGAAACTCCGTCGATGCGATGTGTTCGTGGAACTGTTGATTAGAAATTCGGCGTTTTGTGCTAAGGTCTACTTAAATAGTTAGCTGTAAGGGTAGCGTCGGGGGTGAGACACGCGGATTGGTTGTTTCCTAGAGTTCTACGTTTCGGACAGGGAGGAGGCCGTTTTTCCTGATTGGTGACAGTCACCGGAAAGTTGACCTCCAAGTCCATCGGTCACCTGCAGGTATCGAGAGTACCTTCGCGCGACGTCATGGAAATTCCGCGTGCCTCGACCGTAGCAGGTAAAAAACTGTATGAGGCGCCTTAACCCTAATAAAACATGCAAAGAGTAAATATCTAAAATGTAAAAATGCTGATCCTCGAACAGCTGAGGGTGGTTGTTGAAGGTAATGGTCGATGGCTTCGTAAGGTTATTTGAGCTACGATCCCTTGAAAGATTTAGAGGATCGTTGAGGTAACGGTGTTCCAGTTTGTGACATCGCAAGCATCATCGTTTCACCTTGAATTCATCAAGAACCTGATCGTTTCTACAGCACCACTAATCTGAAACTGAGCCGGAGCAATCGCCGTACCCGCTGCGACGCTCAACGGTCGCGTTCATCGGACTCGCATCGCAATTTGCCGCCGGTTTACGTATCTCTGCGTTCCGCTCGACGACAATAACGGGAGAACTCGTCGGGACGGACGGCTCGAAGTTGTTAAACACGTGCTCGCCGGGTAATAAGAGCGTCGGCTGTCCCGCGGCGTAATCAGGCTCGTAAAAGCCGGCTTTACGATCGGCCGCTTACGCAAAAACCCGATCATATCTGCGCGAAGTCGGGAGCATCGCGCGAGCAACACGTACCGCAGCGCCGCGGCATAAAACTGCGGAGCAGACAGGCGAGCCGCGAATTCTCCTCCGCGCATCCTATGCATATCCGGCCGCGGAAGCTGTAATAAATTTTCGCCGGTGCGCGATTACACCTGACCCAGACGCGCAGCCGGCTCTCGAATTTCCTGGCCGTCGATCAACCCCCAACCCTTGGACGAGAAATTACGCGAGCACGTCTTTTTCGTTGCTCGCTTCGGCGAGGCGGGTGGATTTCTTCGTCGATACATGCAGTGGCGTTCGAAAATTCCTGGCCAGATCGTTTTCCGAATTGATTCCGATTTTTTCGATTTTTTCGTTGCACGATGGAAGGTGAAATATGTGATCAGCGATACAATAGACGTGACCCACTTTTTGTCTTTCAAGAGCACAGGCGAAGGACTGTGGCAAGGTTAACCCTTAGCACTCCAGATGATTTTTTAATCTACCAACTACTCCAAGCCGTTTTTATAGTATCTCTACAAATGAAAAATGTTACGTTGTAACATCTAGTAGATTTCTTTATGTTCCTTAATACAAAATTTGGATGTATAGAAGCTCCAGTAATCTTAGGGTAGTTCTAAATTTATTCATTAGAATATTCAATAGTACAAATGGTGTCACAGTGGAGCCTACGGAGTGTTAAATTCTAAAGAAGTATGAAAGAATAGATGCTGTCATTTTTGTACAGCACCGGCACGCGATTTCCTTTATACATTATAATTCTTAAGTCCTAAATTTCTTAAATTCTTAAAGTCTGTATTGCGTGAGAAACCAAGGATGATCTATCTGGGAACGTTCGAACGCCACTGTACGCGTGAAAATCATGGTGCAATGAAAATTGAACATCCTGTCGCTGCGCGTTGGAAATTAATGGTACCAATCTTATTCCTCTCGCCAGTACTTATTATTTTCCTTGGACGTGATTGTATAAATTAAAATTCTGTTAGTAACTATGTATGTATATTATATACACTTACTTCTACTTTGATATTAAAGCTCAACGACCAATATCGATAATAACCTTCATTCCTCATTACTGAATTACCCATTCGAACTGAGCCTGTATTCGAAACAATCCCTGTCTAACAGAATCTCCTAAAAAATCTCCTCGCATCTCACTACCCACTTAGCAGTCTTCGAGAAAAACGTAATCGAGTCCGTAACCATATCAGGATTGTTAAGTTTACGATTAAATACGAGCTCCGAAACTTTTCCCCTTGCGATCCACGTCGTTAGGTTCGGTCCTTGCATCATCGACGTCCAGATCCACTGTTAAACGTGTAACGTGGACATGTAAGTAGTGCCGAACACTACTTTCCGGTACTTCTGGTGCAGCATGTTCCTCAGCTGATCCGCGTGCTCCTTGTCCCTGGTCTCGCAGACCACCTTCACCTCCACGCTGAAGATGTCCGACATGATCCACGCCCGCTCGTGCATAACGTCTTTTATCGAGACGCCAACGTTGGCCAGCATCCTGCACAACTCCGAGATCCCGCCGGGTCGGTCGGAAACGGTCACCGTGAACTTCACGAGGCGACCTTCGGCGGCCAGTCCTCTGTCCAAACATCTGCCCAGTATGGTAGTGTCTATGTTCCCTCCGCAAAGTGGCAGCACTACCCTGGTCAACAGTAAAATTACTTCAAATCGCTGTTCGCTGAATTCCCCGATGCTCCCGATCGAGACGAACCTTTTCCCTTTCAGCTCGTCCAGCTGCCCCGCCAATATGGCCGCCAGGCCGGTCGCGCCAGCGCCCTCTACGACGCACTTCTCGCTTTCGATCAGCTTCAGAATCGCGATGGCGATCCATTCTTCCTTCACCACGACCAGCTTGTCGATCAACGGGTTCGCCGTGGCGAAAGCGTTGTATCCCACCATAGGCACCGCCAGGCCGTCGGCCAAAGTGGACTCTATGGTGGTGTACACGGGCCGATCCGCCTTTCTCGCCATGGTGAAACTGGCGCACCGCTCCGACTCGACACCCTGAAACCGAAATCTCGCGTCACTCGAATTCTCTCGAATAAATACGAGAATGTGTGTGTGTAAATGCTCGATGCAGGCGAACGATGACTCACGATGATCGTTATGTTAGGGTGGAGAGTCTTCGCGGCTAAAGCTACGCCGGCGATCAGACCACCGCCGCCCACTGGGATCACCAGCGCGTCGATGTCGGGTACTTGCTCCACTATCTCCAATCCTAGGGTTCCCTGACCCGCCATGATGTCTGGGTGATCGTAGCTGAGAAAGGAAATGCATTTGGTAAGTCTCATCGGTCGGCGGTCCATCGATCGGAAGCTGCAGGTGAACAAGACGGTTCGGATTACCGGATCGTTGGGATAATAAGAATCTCCCTTTTACTAGATTTCGTCTCGATTTTTTTTTTACGTGATCGAATCGCTCAGAAGCCATTGCGGTTCGATCCAGAGGTTTGCCTACATTGTGAAAAATAATGTTCCAGCTGAAATGATTGTACAATATTCAGAAACTGTACAACGAAGTGCTCTCTGACCTAGGAAAAACGAGCAGACGAGTAAATTCTTTTGTAACTGAATATTGTTGACTCCTTGAAGATTGACCGAAATTAGATAATATCAAAAGATCGACTTAACCGCGTTGGATTCTGAGCTGCTCAGTTGTGAGCAATGACTATGCAGCCTTAATCGTTCGTTTTCTATGTTTGCTTTCTACGTTTCCTATGTTTGCTTTCTTTGTTTGACTAGAGATCTACCATACTATTACCTTATTAACCCTTTGCACTCAAGAGGCGACTCTCAGTCGCCAGATGATTTGATACAGGAAAATTATGAACTTCGGTATTTACCATTAACCTTTATACACTGCATCAATACGTGAAATATTGAAAGCAAATAGCTTTGTTCCCTAATTTATTTGTGATTTCATGTTACATTCATTTTAAAGAATCTTGTCTACATCTAATTAGAAAGTATAGAATATTTCAAATGAAAAAATTTCAAGTGCAAAGGGTTAATTAGTCTCGAGTCGATTGAAGCGTTCTACTCAGCGAAATTCGCTAGAAATGAACACACCGACGCGTTAAATGCCCACGTACATGTTTACACCTAATGAACACGTAAAGATTCGTGGTCTAATTAGACATTCCCGTGATTATATCCACGTACCCATTTATATACGTCAGTCCAGCCTCTTTAGCTTGTTTAAGAGCGATTCGCTTCGCCTCTCCCATGTCGCGGCCGTCCACGATCACGTTGGCTCCGTATTGGCGACAAGCCGCGATTTTCATGATGGGCGCCAAGATAGGCATCACCACCGTCACCGGAATCCCCAATTTGCATCCGTGGTAGCATAAAGCGAGAGCGTGGTTGCCCAACGAAGCTGATATCACGCCGGCCTTCTTCTGTTCGTCCGTGAGCATCACGAGAGCGTACCTCGCCCCGCGTTCCTTGAAGCTTCCGGTTGCTTGGAGGAAGTCCTTCTTCAGAAACAGATCGATCCCCGTCATTTCCGACAATCGCGATCGCTGGGAAAATTAACAGCGAAGACATACGATTAACACTTCGCGCGCCACGGGAATTACCGTCGTAATTCGCTTATGAACTGCATCGATTTTTTGAAGGAAATATTAATATATATTCAAGTTCTTGGTCATTTTTGTATGAAACATTAATTTATATTCGAGTTCTTGGTCATTTTTATATGAAATATTAATTTATATTCAAGTTCTTGGTCATTTTTGTATGAAATATTAATTTATATTCAAGTTCTTGGTCATTTTTATATGTTTCGACTTCAAATTGAACATTTTCAACGTGATTCAACAAATATATGTATCACGCGACGCTTGTTTCATCGTGACTTAACCCTTTGCACTCTGAGCAAATTTTAACGCTTGACACTTTTCCTACTGTAACTAATAAGATAATTGGCTAGAAAATGGAGGTGAAGTTAGATGATAAATTCTTAGCGGAGTTCCACCGAGTGTTCCATCTCTTTCGTTCTTCCGCCTCGTCGACTGCTGGGAATAGCAGCGAAGAAAAGCTCTGCACGAGGAAATTTTAACCCCTTGCCCTACGACGAGTGAGACTCGTGGTGAAGATTTTCAACGTGATTCGACAAATATATGTATTACTCGGTTCATTCGAATTCAAAGTAAATATTATTCCCCTGTATTCAACTGTGATACAAGGAAATATAGGCATAACATATGCTTAGGATTTCTCTCTTTTCCCAATAAATTATCAACGACAAAGTAGCCGTATCGATCAGAGTTGAGAAAGGAATCACAGGCCAAGGAGTTAAACCCCGCAGAATCCATATCCGCAAACCGAACGACATTCTGAAACTCCACGAGCAACATACCACGCACGGTGTGTTAACGATCCCGCACTTGATCTTAAACGCCGCCGACGTGATATCCTCGAAGGTGATCCTGTGCGGGTTCTCCTCCACGCAGAAGGGGTCCACCAGCTCCTCGTCATTCTGCGGAAAGAAACGCAGACTCTCTGACACCGTTCCCGTCGAATCGCACCAGCCGCTCGGGTCGAAGTCTCGGACGACTCGAAGCAGCGGCCGTTCGATGAGAGCGATACAGTAGGAGAGAACGCGGTCGAACAATTCCATCGTCCCGAAGTCGCGCGATCGAGATCGCGTATCTCGGTCCCCGTCATTTTCCCGACAACCCGCGGAAAACGAACATGCGCGATCGAGCGATTTTTATCGTGGGATTCGCTGACGCGATGATTACGTGGAGATCCGGCGCGTGTGCGTCGTCGCCGTCAGCTCCGGCGATCGGATCGAGCGCGCGGCCGTTCTGCAGGTCCGACGACTTCTTATTCAGGTCCTTCATCGTGTGTCCGGCGTGCGGCGGAATCGCGAAAAATCGACTGCGGCCGTGCGCGGGACGGCCGAGTTACTTATCCGAACGTGCGCGGCCGAGTATCGCGATGACACTCGTTATCGCGGGGACCTCCGACCCCGTTTCTCGGCTACGCCGGCTCCCAAGTCTCGTGATTGCCATAGTTTCCCGGTCGTGCAGTTTTTCCACGCGATAACGCCGCCGGCGAATAATATTCCACTGGACGTCGGATTCGATTCCGTTCACTCCTCGATCGCAGGATCTCCGAACCTGCTTCCGAAATTCGGAGCATCGACGCGTTCAGCTTTCGCGAGGGATACGCGCTTCACGCGAAGACTCTCGGACCCGAACGGATCAACGTCAACGAACCATTGTTGATTGTTTTACTCGGAGTCCGCTGGAATTCGCAAAACGATGACGGGAGAGTATATGTTATGAGAGATGTAGACTCATTTCGGTACTTTCGCTGAATCGACCGCGTTTTCGGCTGCTCGGCGAGACACGCGGAAATAGACTGGTACCGCTGGATCTCGATCGGAGAGTTTCCAGGCGGAGATAACCTCTGCCAGACCGATAAGGGTGGAACAATTACGACAGCCGGATAAATACGCGACTCGCTCTGCCGGGTTCGGCGTCGTTCGTTTTCGTGAATCGCGATTGCTGTGCGGCCTGCGTAGTTGAAGTGCGATTCACAGCGTGCACCAAGGAACCTTGTGTATTTCACGAGTGCTGTTTCCTAATTGTTTCGGATAAATGTTTACTCGAAACGAACAGTCCTCGATATCGAATGAATTGTTCTCGGTACTGTACTTCACTCGGTTGACGATGCGGTTATTAAATTGTTTAATTGCTCGCTTATTGGTTAGCATCGTGAACCTTGCTCCGATTAAAATTTCATTCGTTACTCTTATCTCCCATCCGCGATGCAAATAAAATGTCCGACGTTGCGCGGGGTAACGCGAGAATCGCAGAATGCGTGCAATGTTGATCGCGATTTGCGTCATTATCGGGAAAATCATTTTTTTCCCGCTGTTCGCGTCGATACTTTATTAATACTATTAATACCCGGAACGCGAACTGGACAAACGGCTTCGATACACTGTAACTCCAGTTTATTCCGAGATTATTTGTGGCTCCACGTTATTCCCCGCGCGCGTAACACAGTCGCGCGTATCGAATTCCGGCGCGGATCATTAAGAGTCGAAAAAAGCCTGGCAATAACCGATAGTTTATTCAGCTGCTCCGACCCGACGCATCGCGGCAAAAACGTCGAGCCTACGGAAAAAGCCGAATAATTGGGAATGTCGTGTGTTCGAAACGTGAAACGAGGTCCCTTGAAAACCTGCGAATATAGTCCGACAGGATCTGGCGCTCTGTTACGCGCCCAAAAATGACAGTAAGACATCGTCGCTGTCGCGTGAGAAACAAAAGGAACCTCTACGCCGGGCAGCCAATCGGTACGCGTGTCCGGCAAAGTTCTTCCTTGAGCATCGGTTAACCCTTTGCACTCGAGAGGTGACTCTGTCGCCACTCGATTTGACACAGTAAAACTATAGAATGTGATATTTAATGTTAAAATTTTTACAATGCCTCGACACGCGAGACATTGGAATAAAACAGCTTTGTTCCTCGATGTACCGGTGATTTCTCTTCGAATTAGTCTCAAAGAACATCGTCTTCGTAAAGAAATGTTAAATATTTCTAGTAAGAAACATTCGAGTGCAAAGGGTTAACATCGGCTCGCGAAATCAACAACCCAGTCTCAACGATAAACGTAGAAACAAGTCCAAGATCAACCTCTGTGCTGATGAAATTGTTAGAATCACTGTATTACTTCAACACTGTACTTTCGAGTGTGAATTTTTTTTTCTTGAAACTAAGCGAACTAGTTCAACGACCTTATCACCCTATCACTGTAAGTCGTAGGGTCCGAGAATCGCGAAGTCGAAAACACACTCTATCGTCTAATCCCTAAAAAATCGAGTCCGTCGAGGTTACAACGAACCGAAACTATTTACGATCCGTCGATCGAGAGACCTTTTGCCACCGATAATTTCAATGAATGATTTCACCCGTGTTATCGGCGTCCGTCACGTGTCAACGGGTTCAGCTGACCGCTTTATCTGATCGGTATCCCGTGTCTAATCGCGTCGCGCCGCTCCGCGATAATCTCGGTTTACAAACATCCCACGCAACCCCTGAAAACCGTGTTCTTCCCTTCCCCTTCGAAGGAACTTCGTTCCGGAAAATGGAAACTCGTTCCGTTTCCGCGGCGTCTCTCTTGCTGATGCAAGCGTAACGATGCTCGTTTGCGTGCGAGCACACCTCGGATATTTCCGTCGGCAAAAAGAGCCGCGGCGCGGCGCACGGTCGGGAGTCGTCGATTCTTACGATCCGTCGCAGCTCGTTCCGCGACCGTCCGCCTTACCCAAGCTAAAATTCCGTCGCGCCGATCCCGGCTCGTCCGCGGACCGCATTTTTTTCGACGGGTAACGAAGCTGCATTCGTCGCCGCGTACGTTCGCGTTCTCCGTCTACGACACGCGACGTCAGCTGTTCCGCGGCGAGGACGAAACGTTTCTTGAAATCATTCCTCGGGAACGAAGGGAACGCCTGAGTAGTAGCTGTTTCGATCGCTGTGTAACCTCTTAACCCTTTGCACTCGAGAGGTGACTCAGTCGCCAGATGATTTGATACAGAAAAATTATAAACTTTGGAATTTACCATTGGCCTTTGTATTCTCTATCAATACGTGAAATATTGGAAGGAAATAGCTTTGTTAACTAATTTATGTATGATTTCTTGTTCAGTTGATTTTAAAGGATCTTGGGTACATCTGATTAGGAAGTATAGAATATTACGAGTGAAAAACTTTCGAGGGTTAACCCTCTGCACTCGAGAGGTGACTCTCACCATGCAATTCGATAACCAGAATCATGAAGTTTTACATTTAATGTTAAGCTTCTTACGATCCATGAATATTTGAAATATTGAAATAACAACTTTGCTTCTTAACTTATGTACTTTCGTCTGAAAGGACGTCATCTGTAACTCATTGGAAACCGTTGAATATTTCCAGTGAAAAACATCCGAGTGCAAAGGGTTAATAGTGGCTGCTCGTAGCTAAAATTAGGGGCTCCTGAAAATGTTTGTATCTTTTTCATAAACTGCGGGGTGGCTGCTGATATTGAACTTAAGGATTATATACTGTACAAGAATGAAAAACGAATTAAAGAAAAGGACTCACATGTTATCGATATAATTTCGAACAATTCGAAATCAAAGGAGACTTCAAACAATCAGAAATAATTTGAAATAAATCCGAGATTCGAATAATCAATTACTATATCAACTTCTCCGAGAAGCGTCTGTTCGATGATCGCGAAAAGAAGAAATCAGGGGAAGAAATTAAGAAGAGGATTCTTCGACTGTTACTTCACGATTATTACCCACGGGCTCCGACAATCGCTCGCTTCCAACAAAGACGCTGTTTAATAAGTACGAAAGTCTAGCTGTAAGTTTACAACGTGGCGCCGAGACCGCTTTCCGTTAAACCAGCAGCGTGTCTAAAATATATGTTCGCCGAGTATCACAGACTTCCAGTCTACCTAACAGAAGCAGATTTCCATAATGGATGCGGGCGCTGTTCCGCGAGGAACGAAATAAAATAACGCAGACCCGACGACTCGCTGGTCGACGTAGTCGAAGGATTATTTACTCTGCTCTACGGGAGAAAGAGACTCACAGTTTCGAGGAAGATCTTTTAATATATCACGGAAACATGGGAGGAGAGAGTACGGGGCGAATTACACGAGTGATGACACGGAGGGGGTTGAAAGAGCGTGGATCAACAAGTCAGAGTCCCGAGGCGCGCTGTCAAACGTTACAAAAGACCGAACACTATTATTTACAAGGGACGCGCGCGTCGTTTGCGCGTTACAATAGAAAAATATCCGACGAATACGATTCACGATGCGACAACGCGTTAACACGCTCGCTGCCGAATTAGTCGAATTTCAGTGACAACGTTTCGTTCGAATTTTCACCTTGATTTATCGAATGCACTGAATATCGTTAAGACCTATGAAAGACAAGAGAGTTGAAAGAGTAGCTTACCATCGACTGTAACGTTTTATACTCTGTTTCGTTAACCCTCTAAGCCTATGTAACCGAAGTCACGTATCAGTATATTGGCATTCTGTTCATTTCACACTCAAAGTGGTGAATCGAGTTAAAATCGGTTAACTTTTACATTCAGGCGTGAAAGTTCAACTTCATTGTAACTTGGAAGTTTCGATGAAATTATTGAAACTATCGAATACATTGTCAATTCGTATTCATACGTGGATATTTAATTTTCTGCATAGATTTTGTTACAACGAACGAATCTTCAGGCCACAGAGGGTTGAACGACTTCGATCGTACTCTACTGGTTATCAGAATTCGACAGTGAACGCGTTAAAGAAAGACTTCACGAGGCGCTCGTGCCTCTGCTGCTCTCGACGATCCGCCGTCTTTCCCTGAGGAGCTCGAGGAACCTCGCCCTAGGACTTCCGGGGTATTTCAGTTTCTCCCTGAACTGAAGGTTCTCGTTCGAGCCCTCGGAGTCCTGACTCTTCGCGCACGCGTACAGCGTCGCGTCCCTGATCCTCCGCGAGCAATCGTCCGGCTCTTGAAGCCTTTCTCGAGTGTCCACAGTCGGCGCACGTTGCGTGTATTTGCTCTTCAGCCCCAATGAGTCATCCTCCGCGATCCCCGAGTCCGCCTTGCCACTTCTAGACAAACCGCTCCACGAATCATCCCGCTGCGTTCTCGCAGGAGTGTTCTCGTCGACGCGCAGCTTCGCTTCGATCCTGTCGAACCTCCTCAAAGGGAAGAAATCCTCTTGCAACGCGGACTCCGCGTCGTCGAAGGACTCTTGGACTCTCGCGACCGACAGGTTCCCGGTGATCTCGTAACTGGCGCAATCTTGCGCACTGTTCCCCGAGATCTCGTCGACGTCCAAGCTGCCCTGAACGTCCCTGCAGAACGACTCGTCGCTCGAGTGATTATATCTCTCTCTGAGCTTCGAGTAAGTCAGCGGACTCCGAGGTCTGCGGTCGGAGAGGCTCGCGAACCGACTTCGAAGCTTGCTCGAACCTCTGCAGCTCGTCGCGTTCGCGACGTTCATCAGCTGATCGAAGATCCTCTTTTGCAAGTCCTCGTCCTCGTCCTTCGCGACGCTCGAGTCGTCTATCGGCCGCGGACTCGATCGTGGTTGATAGTCGAATAACCTAGGACTACTCGAGTCCTCGCTGACGTCGGGATTTTTAGCGAGGATGCCGTCCCTCCTACCGGAAGCCGCGAAGTCGCTCGCCACGGGTGCACGATCCGTGCTGGGACTCGCTAAACTCGGTCTAGCGCCAGCAGATCCGCAGTTAACGCCGTACTTGACGCGCAGCAGCTCGTTGTGCCTGTCCACCCTCCGAATGCAGTCCTCCAGTCTCTGGATCCCTTTCAGGCATCGGTCGTACGACTCGGTCGAGACGATTATCTCGTCGTCCTCCTTCGGACAGTCGTCGGTCTTGTCCGTGAAATCGATCTTACGCTCCGGTTGATCCAGCTGATCGCGATTCCAGGGGAAGGAGTAATCCCTCCTACGAGATCCTTGCTTCCCGACGTGTTTGCGGTGACTGGTCGACGGGTACCTTGAAAAAGATTACGTTATTAAACGCCCGATGGAAGCTTGTTTCTAGAGAACTCTCACCTGTCGAGGACACTCGCGGCGTTCGCGTACCGATTGATGGAGTTCAGGTTCCTCATGAACGTCACCGCCTCGCTGAAATACTCCTCGAGGATATCCTTCGCCACGCGATCGCGCGGGACGTCCTCCTCGTCGTCCTCCGGGTTCTCGCAGCTGTCGGACTCGTTGCAGGCGGCCTTCGGCGCGTCTATCTTGAAGAACTTCACCTTCTTGTGATTCTGCGTCGAGTCTGTCTTCAAGTCCGGATGTACATCTTCCTTCGACGTTTCCTCGGTGTTGTCCGCGAGCACCTGCCTCTTACAGTTGCTCTCCATCCCTGAAACGCCCTTCTCCTCTTGCTGGGAGTCGTCGGTCTCGTCGTTCGACGACTGAACACCCTGCGGAAGGTCCGATGCGTTCCTCTTCTTCCGTTTCTTGATGATAGACCTAAGAGTCGCCTTCGAACTCTGCCTGGGAGACTGCTCCGCCGGGGTCACCTTGTCCTGAAACTCGGTAGAGCTGGAAAACGACACCTTCTTTTTCCCATTGTTATTCAGAGGATCGAGCGAGCTCTCGGTGTCCTCCTTCCGGTCTTCGGAGCTGTAACAAGGCCTGCCCAAGATGAGGGACTCGTAGTCGTGTATCCGGAGGAGCTCCGTGCCGTCCTCCGTTGGCTTCATCTTCGGGAACTCAACGTGACTGTCCTCGAAATCCCCGGAGCTCTCGTTGCTCTCCGCTTCGATGGCGTTGGAAAGCTTAGGGCAGTCCTTCTTCGTGTGCGCCACCACGTCGGGCGGACAGAGGCTCTCCCTCTGTTCCAGGTCGGCCATCTTCAGCACCGTCTGCCCCAGAATGTTGTTCTCACTGTAGTCCAGACTGTCATCCGAGAAACTGTGATCGTGCTCGACGTTGCTGTTCACTTCGGCCGTAGCGGACGAAGGGAAAGCTTTCGACTCGAACGTCCCGCTGGCTCTGCCGGAGTCTACCTTCGATCGCCTGAACGCGGAAGCCTGGTCCGCCGACGGCGCGCAACTCGAGCAAGATAAAATCAGCCCGGCCGCCGGAAGCTCGGTCTGCGACTGCCACGAAGGGGACAGCAGCCCCTCGTCGTGAGCGACCGGACGAATTTTACTCGCTTGCTCCGGGGCGGGCCACTTTCGCCAGGAATCCTCGTGAACAACTCTGTCGAATCCTTTCCCGAAGCTGCGCTTCTTCGTGATGAACGCCTCCGTGATTAAACCGTCCCTGATGAATCCCTTCCCGTTACTCTCCAAATCGACGGCATCGTTCTCCCTGGACTGCGACACGTACGAGGTCCCCAGGGAATTCCTGAAGGTAATGGATTTCCTCATCCGCGCCCCGTCCACGGCCACGTCGGTCCTCCTGGACACGCTGTTGGGGTCCTGAAAGATGTTCTCGATCCGGAAGACCCTGGCATCCGGCTGGCCGAGCGTCGATCTACTCTCGTCCTTGAAACGGTCCGCCTCGCCGCGAGGATCCTTCGTCTCGTCGGTCTGAACCTCGCCGTCCCTCGTCCTGGACTTCCTCTCTTGGTCCGTGTTGTCCAGCACGGCGATCCTGGACTCTAAGACGTTGGTGCTTTCGATCGTGATGCTGATCGTGTCTGGCAGAGATATGGAGATCACGCTTTTCTCGGCGCTGCCTATGGAAGAGAGGTTCCCAGGCTCGGGGTTACAGCACTGTCGCAGGCACGCCGGAGCTTTGCTCTCTATCCTGCGCTGATCCGAGAGGCTGGACCTCGGAGTTTGAACCGCGAAGCTTCTACAAGAGGAATAAAGGGTATTCGTCGAGCTGTCCGCGTGCGGTATCCCCCGGCCGGACATCGGACACACGTCGGAGACCTCCGTGCTGGACAAGTTGCTCTCGGCGTAATTCTGCGTGTCGTCCGACAGAATCCCGGAGTCGTTTCTCGGAGAGTGGATGTCGTACTCGAACTCGTCCAGATCGTTCACCAAACTGGCCACATCCTTGCACCTGACGATGTCCGTTCTGGGCTTGTCGGTTAGCGTCGACATCTCCTTCACGCGAAGGACGGGTTTCTTATCGGTGACGATCTCGCAGCCCTCGTGGTCCTCCGTCAGCACCGCGACGTCCTGCCGATTAATCTCGGGCGTCTCCGTCAGCGACGCGGTGTCCCTCATGCGAACGGTCCTCGAACACTCGGTCTGCGTGTCCACGCAGACGCGCCTCCGTTTGCCCAGCATCTTCCTCGAGATCTCCTGCAGCTTCATCCTCGCGAGAGACTTCACTTCCGTTCCTTCCGGAGGGGACCGGACGCCCGAAGCATCGTCCGGTGGCTTTTTAGCGGAGTACAATCTCTCCGTGACAGCCGCCACGATCTCCGCTCGCTTGGCGCGCTGAATGGGCGTGTGAGTCTTCGAAGAGGACGACTCTTGGTCGATCGAATCCTTCCGGTGCAGAAGTTTCTCCCTCGTCAGGCTGGAGATCAAGATCTGCTCGTCCTTCGAGCTGCTGGAACTGCTGTCCTTGCTGGTCTTCCTCTTCAAGCACTCCAGACTCGGCTTCCTCGCGTGACCCTTCCCTTTCGCGACGATCTGGTTGCTCGACTCCTTCAGACTCTTGTCGGAATCGTTGCTACCTTTCCGCTGCAACAGCTCCTTGCCCCAAAGATTCTTGTTGACGATCTTCTGATCCTCGATCTCCCGTATGTTGTTCAACTTCTTGGCCCTCTCCGGCACCGCCGATCGCCTCTCCAAGTTGGTGTGCGACCTTTCCAACGAGAACACCGGTTCCTTCTTCTTATGGATCGTCTCCACCGAACCGAACTTCTTCGACGTATGAATGTTCGTCGGCAGAGACACCGACAGCAGGTCCACCGAGTCCTGCTTCCTGAACTTGGGCTTCTCGTTCAATTTCGAGGCGGACTTGACGCGGGAGAAGCTGGAGGTCCGATAGACGTCTATCTCGTAGTCTCCGGAGGCGTGACACGAGTTCACCGAGCTGCTCCTCTCGTCGTGGTCGATGCTCTCCGGTTTGTCCGCGTCCTCGAACGGCTCGCGATCGTTCCCGGTATCGATGAACTCGACGTCGATGCCGTCCTCGACCGCCTCGTCGGAGCAAATTTCCTCGATCTGCGCGGAGGACTCTTGCAGACTGTCGTCCGGCTTGATCAAAACCGCGACCAGCGTCGGGATGTCCACGAACACGGACTCGTGGATCTCGTTGACCTCGTCCTCCTCGTCGTTCAGCTCCGTCACTTTGGCGCGGTTGTAGCCGCCCCCGAGGCGATCCTTCGACCCGAGGAACTCGTACGAGCCGAACCTCTTCAGCGACGAGCCGGGATCTATGATCGCGAGGCTCTCCGTGGACGTGGATCTCCGCAGGGGAGTAACGCTCTTAGGCAACTGCTGCTCCTCCGTTTTCGACTCCGCTTGTCCTTTAGCGTTCGACTCGATATTCAACTCCTCGGACCGTTCGATCGGCACAGTTTCCCCTATCGTCGCACTCTCCGAAACGTCGTGAACGCTCTTCCCTTGATCCTGATTCTTCCCGCAGGAGCACAGAGCTTTGTTCGGCTCTATGTTCTAAGAAACAAAAATGCGATCGATTAGTCGGACAAGCTATTCGAAAATAAGAGCAACAAAATTTCTTGGGTAAAACATCGACGTAAACGGCGTAGAATTCCTTCCACAGCCGACGGAATTCCGATCTTCGTTAACCGAAATCCTCGGCGAGTTCGTTAGAGCAATCAATTAGCGATTCGAGAGATGAAGTTGGTCCGATACCTCGCGCCTCGCGTGAGAAGGCTGTCGAGCCGATTGGCCGGAGAAGTGGAAACGATACGTGAAAATTGTTCGCCGTGATAATATCACAAAGGGGAATTCGAGCGGGCTAGTTAATGGCCGATTACGTAATGCGCGTGGCGTCCGAAGGACACCGTGATACCCGCCTTCGCCGCGGGATGGTAATGCGGATCGCTCATTAAACGGACGCACCTGTGAACTGTATTTTATCAGCAGTCGTTCGGTTCGTCCGCTCGTTCGTTCGTTCGGCGAGCGATCCTCAGCCCGGAACCCGACGGTCGGTCGCTCAATGAACATCAAATAAACGATCCATGCATTTCATTTGCGTAATGACGTTTCGGCGCGAGTTTATACCGCGGAGGCACCGATAATAAACTCGCGCGATTTATCCACGCCCGGCCGAGCCTCGAAACGCGCGGCGAGCGCCGAATTTTCGGGGTCGGGGGCGATTCGTTCTAGGACGGCCGCGGGATTTTGTAATCGGTCGATAGCAAATCAGCCCCGATTATAAATAGACGCCGCCCAATTTACCCGGTGAATCGCCGGGACGTTCCGCGGAGTGTTTGCTAATTTATTTTTCCGTTTGTACCGTCGACGCGATGTAACGCCTCCTACCCTCCCGCCCGTGTTTGTTAACGTCCGCGCGCGAAAAGTGCCATTGTCGCGGCTTGTTTATCGCGAGCACTCGACGCGAGCGTGCTCGATACGGGATAATGATTTTCTACGATTTTCCGGATACCGGTCCGTTCGGCTGGTACCCGCCGGAGTATCGCGGGAGCGAAACCTTGTATGAATTCATGCAACAATGAGGATAATGACTGCTTATTACCTGATTATTATGACTGCGGACGCTAATTGCTCGCGAGACCGGTTTTTCGTACGGCATTACAATATTAATATGCGTTCAAGACTATATGGAGCAGTTTATATTCGAAAGCCATTAATGTTACATTATTTTCCATGCGGAACGATGATATCCATTGCGTCATTGAATGTTACAACGATCTTTATAGGAGTTGGGTAATGTTGAGTCGATTCTTTGATATCTGATCCCTGTCAATTTTAATAGAATAAATAACATTCTTTGCAGTTATTCATGAATTCACTCGTTTTCGGTTTTTAGAGATCAAGGAGACCTAGAAACTTCTTATAGCTTCTGAATATGTTGTACGATCATTTCAAAACGTGAATTTCCTCGGTCTCTGCTTTCCGGACTACCGCATTGGCGTCTAAGCGACTCGTTAGAAAACTGAGAAAAATATGAATGACAATTCTAAATACACGACTTACGCGTGAATCGCAACGCAAGTTTCTTTTTCTCTTTGCTTTCACCCTTCCTGGACGGAGATTCTTTGAAATATACAAAACCCTCGGATAAAGCTAAGTTCCACACCGGTCGCTTAACTAATAGAACAAGAGGAAACTACGTATTATTGCTGTTTAAGTAATTAAGCGATTCGTTTGCGACTTAGTATTCCAGATACGAACATTTCAGACTCCCCGGGATGTCGACGTTCACGTGCAAAGGGTCGAAAGATCGATCGAGCTCACCTTTTCCAACAACAACGATGACAGCCTCGCCACCTCGGCCCTCAGTTCGCGTATCAGCCTCGCTACCGGATCCTCGTTGACCACCGGACGGTTGACAACGCTCTGCGCCCTTTGCGCGAATCGCAGAGTGTGTGCGGTCTCGTTGTAACTTCCGCTTGCGGGCGATATGGCTAAAAATCGGGAAACAACGGTTGCAGTCGACGCGTGGCAATTAACGGAACCCGTTCGACTCGCCGCGAAATCGAGGGAGCGAACGTCTATCACTTTCATCGGCTCGAAAGTCTATTACTACTAGATCGTAACATATGAAACGTCCGATTTCGGTTGAGTACTCCACCCCATTGACATTTAACTTGATATTTATCCATCACCGGCGGATTTTCACATTTCTCAAACGTTTCTGTCGCTTCCTCGAGGAATCATCGAGGACATTGAAGAGACTAACACTGGAAAGCCAGACGTGTAGAAAAATCGAATTGAAACACTACAAACTTACTAGAAAATTTTCTAAAATTCCATCGTCGTTTCAATGGAAAACCTCGATTGCCGAAGGACTCGTGTTAATTCCAATCCAACCCAAAAACGTTTCAAACGTTACGACCTAACACAAGTAAGTCAACATCGAATCACGTTCACTCGCCGGAGACTTCGTCCCCGAGACAATCGATGTCAGAGTTCACGCGGCACGAAGGGGTTGACACGTATCCGCGGAAAGTGGGAAAAGGTGGGTCACGGACGGCCGCGATCGCGCACGAGAACGCGGTCGGGGAAAAATTCCGAACGATCGCTCGCGCTCGATCCTCCGCGAAACGAGAGGACGTCCGCCTCGCCTCGAGCCCTGATTTAATTCGACAAAGTCCCGCCATCCGAGAGCTCGACCCCCTCCCCCGCCGCCATGTTCCATACGCGGTCAATCATAAACGCAGACAGTGAATATTAAACGCTCCCCAGTTCGCCCGGCTCGCCCGGCAAGCCTGCGTCGCCCCCGCTCCGCCCCCGACCCCGATAATAAACCCGAATGCTATTAGCAATTCAATTAGCCGTCGATGATCAGCGGTTTGGAATATTTCGCCGCGATTAATTATACGCGATCTGTCCCGGCCCAGGAATATTCGGGAATTCTTCCCGTTTCCGCGACACCGCGGCCCGAGCGCTAATTGGCTCGCCGGTTTTTCTAGTCCCTCTGTTAATTATATCCCCTAATGTATCAGGGCGTCGCCGACATCGAGCCCCGGCTGTGGAATTAATCCGAATTAAACGCGTGCCCTGTTATCGCGCCGGCGAACTCCCGCCGGCGATTTGACAAAAATTCTTATGTCGCACAGTGCGGCCGGCTGCGGACGAAACCGTGGAATCCGAGTGTTCGGATAATGAGAATTGGAGATTACCGACGTGCCGCTAAGTAGGATTGCGCGGAATGATTCTCATTCGGGGAATAATGGTATCGTGAAAATGAGAGGAAAACGGAAACTGAACCGAGCGAAAATATTCGTTGTAGTCTGACGAATCACCGAGCAGTTGAATAGAGTTTTTGAAATTTCTCTATAGAAACTTCGGTGCATGGAGCTTTAGTTGATCTACAATTCTGTTTGCTAAACGGATTTCTTTAATAATTTCTCAGAGAAACATCTGTTTGATAATCGCGAGAAGGAGAGATCAGGAACGGGTAATTTTAACTAGTCCGGTAATCTTAATGACTTCATAATATCCTCGTAATATATCAAAAAAATATAAGCACCATACGTTTACCACCATACCTTACAACTTTTGTCTGAAGCATTTGTTTGTAACACTCGTATTTTTCAAGTTACCGAGTCTCGTCCAAGAAACGGCCGTTCGGCCGCACTGTGTAGAAAGCGATACACGGGATTGATTCGTGAATTTTCTCGGGACGCGCGTGAAACTCGTCAATGATGAATCTCGAGTGCACTGTTCTACTTGGAAACGAAATAGTAAAGGTGCTTTTCGTGAGCGTCTACTGTTTCGCTGTTCTCGTTCGTACAAGGAGTCGCTTAGTGCGGGGTCTTCTAGTGCTTCGACCTCGCGGTCGTTGCTTACGGTTCGATAAGGTACGGATATGAATGCGCCTCGATGACTCTTGATTTACACGATTTCTAGGTTGCCGAGAGGGTGTTGTTCGGCCCCGACGGGGCTCTTTGTGCTCGGCACGACGCGTGCCCGTTCATCTTCTCGTCTACCGCAATTCCCGTCCGTCGGTAGATACATACGCAACAAGAGACTTCACTGTGTACCTAGGTACTTTTCTACGGTGCCGGTGTCTAACTACGTTTAAATTCTACGAGATTTACGGCCGGACCCGTTCCGGGGAACTTTACTGCCGCGGTTCTCTCCGAGGCAAGACACCAAAGACGTCCCGCAGTAAACGTCGTTGCCGCGCGATTTACAGCCGCGTCGCCGGAACGTATCAACGCTACGTGCGAACAGTGCGATCCGATCAGTCACGGGTTCATCTACCAATATAATCTACCGTCGCCCCTCCGGCGAGATCCAACTGCCCGCTGGAAGTGCGACGCCGCTACGGGGTTCGGAGAGCTTCGTTCGAGCGACGGAACGCAAAATGTTCGAAGTTTACGGTACTCGCGGCAGAAAGAATCGACTGCGTGGTCCGTGTTAGTAGCACGATACTCTGCTTTGTGTCCGGTAATAACACGGACGACGATACGAAACGCGTAGCGTCGCGACACGACGATATTGTGGCTAAAGCACTCTTGATTCTCGACGAACACCGTAAACTCGCGAAGTCTTGCGCCCTCGAATTTCGCCAGCCTGGTGATCACGTGACACGTCAGTGGCTACGTCGGCACAAGCTGAGAGAGGATTATCGTATTTACCGATGCCGTTCGCTACCAGTTTTTCGCGCCGGTTATCGAATTTTAATCTGGCCGCGCCTTAGCTCGCCTGGAAAACCATTTAAACCAATTACGATCCGGCCTCGAGTCGGCGCCCCGGTATCGTGGGCGCACAATTTCATGAATCAGAGGCTCGCGATAATAATTCTCCTCCGGCAATTAACCGGAATTTATGGAAAGCCGGAGACAGAGAGAGAAAGATAGGGAGAGAGAGAGAGAGAGAGAGAGAGAGAGAGAGAGAGAGTTAAGCGACGCGCTCCGTCGCGGAGCTGGGAAGCACGGAAAAGGGACTTTAAATGTTTTTTGCCGCGGCGCCGCGCATCCTCCCATCGCGCTGCCTCCGGAAACTGAATCGTCCTCCCGAATTAACCCATTTGCATCGTACAGGACCATGATGAATCGCGCTTTTATCGTTGCAGTTTGATTGTGCTCCTTTAATAGACGCCTGTATTTAACACTCGATTTACGGACGTTTATTCTACACTTTGTCCGACTGCTCCTAGAAAGTTAGGCGTTTATTTATATAGATCACGGAAATTGTAGCTTAGAGATTACAGTATTATATTGTAGATCGTAGATTGTACAACTACAGAGTTAAACTGAGTTTGCAAAATTTCTCTATAGAAACTCCAACGATGCGTCTGTCGAGGCTTCAACCCTTCGCGGTCCGAAGTGTTCCCGGTTTCTCACTTTGAGGTTCACGTAGATAGTTCATTCAATTGCAGCTTAATACGACGCTCTATTTATTTATTCAAGAATATTTTGGAGTCGTTGAAATGTTACCTTTAAATGGTACAAGTGTGACGCTGCAGATAAATACAGAAAAAATTATTAAAACAGGTAGAGGTTGCGATAAAATAGACTGCTAAGGGTTAGTCGATTCAGATCTGTTCGCGCGGTGCTCAATCGGTTGCTTGAATAATTTCTCAGACATTTCTTATCTTCCTAATAATCCCAAGAATACGTCGTGATCCGCCTATCAGGTGGCTGTACCGTCAAGCCCATAAAATGTTCACCGGTGCACGTGCACGCGACGGTGTACTCGCGACGAACCACTTGGTCATTCAGAGAAGTAACCTAAGTACGAGAAACGGGAGTATCTTCTTTTATCTCGGCTCCTCCGCGGGCGCCAGCGAAATCGGACGCATTGAAATTTCGCGCGCGTGCGATTCCTGTGGCTGCTACCCTAAATATAGTACGGCATTCTTTGTCGACTCGAACATAGTCCGAGAAGGTAAATACGTGCCAGCGATGCAAATGCGTTAAACGTCGCGACCGAGCGACGGTGAAGAGCGGAACACGGTGCGAATTCGGACTCCGCTTCGATACGTTCACCGGAGATATTCGCGGGAGAATCTGGGACGAGCGTAAAACGGATCAACGACGGATTCGAACCGGGATCGGGGACGCACGGGGGACCGAGCGCGCGGACGGAGAAAAAGAAGTGCGCTCGTTCCACGTGTAAATCGTCGTTTAATGGGAGAGGGGCGCGCGGCCGGGGAACGGCGCTTTCTAAGAATAAATGCGACGCGATGGAACAGGTGAAGGGGATGGCGCAGGGGATGCCGCGACCGGTCGCGGGAGGACGAGCTAGGAAAGGGGGCGAGGACAGAAGAAGGGAAGATCAAAGGGAAGACACTTACTGGCGAGCATAATGGTAGTGGCATTTCCGCCGAGCGCGTCCTTCAGCAGCCAAGTAAGCGAAGAATCTCTGTAAGGGATGAACCTCCTGCCTGGCCCGCTTCCGGTCGAGCCTCTCTCCGCGAGGGCTGATATCACGTTCCCTAGGGCCACTAGACTCTTGTTTATGTTCGCACCCTCCTGCAAATTACACGGTACCTTGTCCTTCACGGTTCCGTCAGGTATATTTTCGATGAACGTCGGACGACGAAGATCGGGCGCAATCTCGAGAGACGCGGATTTTTCGGGTTTCTCGCTCGTTTAGATCGTCGCGGTTCGAAAACGTACGCGGAATTGTTTCGCGCGCGGAGCGCAAATATCGGAGGACTTCAACTTGTTTACGTTTGGACAACGGCTACACGCGTTGTTTGCCGAATGCAAATAAATTCTGTTTCCCGGAGACGAGAGCACGTTGGAAACGGAAAGTTGGAAAGTAAATATCTTCTATGTTTTCAAGATGAATAGGCTTTTAACCTTTCAGCTAGGACTGGCCGCGAAGATGTGCCGGGTTCGACGCGGTCTGATTGTAAACGTAATGTCACTGCGATTTGAGACTGTGGTTACGTTGGGTTAGACTAGAACGTGCGCGATTATCGATGACGGAGAGAGAATCGTGCCGCTGTAGTCGTGTACCGTTCAAGAAGATGGTGCACGCGATAGCCGTTACAGTGGCGTGTAATAGCTAAACAGTGATATACGACAAAGCCACTATAGTGTCGTACAATAACTAAAATATGATGAAGACGAAAGCTACTATAGCGGTGTATCGTTGAAAAACGTAATTGATTTACACGATAGCCACTATAATGGCGTGTAGTAGCTAAAAAATGATATATACTAAAGCCACTATAGTGACATATAGTAACTAAAAAATGATATCCACCATAAGCCACTACAGTGGCGTATAGTAGCTAAAAGATAATGTAGACGAAAGCCACTATAGTGGTGTACAGTAGCTAAAGAATGATATACACTAAAGCCACTATAGTGACATATAGTAGCCATAAAATAACATACACCAAAGCCAGCATATTGACTTTTAGCCACTATAGTAGCTAAAAGGTTAAACAATTTTCTACCAGCCTGAAACGTCTCCGGAACTCAACGAATCGTTCAACGAGCCCTGTTACAATTTAGTTGTAGCAAAGAGGATCGTCGACGGGATCGAGAGTGGCCACCGATTGGCTTGTTCCCGGCACGGGCAAGATGATCGTATTTTTAGGGGGTGACTCACCTTCAGCCGATGCACGCCGCCGCACGTGGCCGCGTTCTCGCTGCCCGCCAGATCGACCAAGCGAAGTTTACTGCCGCCGCGCGGCGGCAAGCCCTCGCTCCTCCGCGCGGAGGAGGAAGCGCCGACCGCGACGCTCGGCGATTCCGGGGTCACGGCGATCGTCAGCAGAGCGTGGCTGCGGCTGCTGCTCGGATTTTGCAGGGTGGACGCTGTCTTCCGAGCCTTCGTGCCTTCTTCCACGTAGGACATCAACGAACCCAGGGTGGGGGCCACGTGGTGCGTTAGGCCTGGCGAAACGAACACAACATGACGCGTGGACATTTCGTTCGCTGGGAACATCAAGGATATTATGTATATCCGTACATTAACCCCTTGACCTACGATATTGTGTCGGACTCGTGATAATTTCAAACGGAATTTGAGGAATCTAAGTATTTAGTTTGACACGTTGCTCACACTGGAATCGATGGACGACGAGAGCAATTTTATTTTCGAGTTCGTTAACCTTTGAAGCAAACGTGGACATAGAGTGAGCACCAAGATGTTCTTTCTCTTAATAAATCGTTAACGACAAAGTAGTTACACCGATCATAGTTGACACTAGATTTATAGACATTCATTGAACCCTCTGTCCCATCGTTCCCAGAACACTGCGTGTTTATTCCTGTAGATCACAGAAATTAGAGTTTCAAGAATAGAGAATTATAATGTGTTGCATGCACGTAAAATCGACGTGAGTAGATAAAGAACAATCTCCGAAAAATTCGATATCCGCCACACCGGCTTCCGTAAGTGTTAACCCTTTGCACTCGAGAGGTGACTCTGAGTCACCACTTGATTCGACACAGTAAAACTACAGAATGTGAGATTTAATGTTAAACTTTGTATAACGCCTCGATACGCGAAACATTGGAATAAAACAGCTTTGTTCCTCAATATACTGATGATTTCTCTTCGAATTAGTCTCAAAGAACATCGTCTTCGTAAAGAAATGTTAAATATTTCTAGCAAGAAACATCCGAGTGCAAGGGGTTAAGAAATAAATCACAGTGCAAGGGTTGAAATATCCCCACTTTATCTCCAAGTTTCCCGTCCCCCGAGAAAGGCGATTCTCAAAAATCGTAATTCCATTTCCGAAGGAAACCGATAGAAGGTACTTAAAGATGAATATCGAGGAAAAGTTACAAAATACGAAACATCGCTGACGTTGATTTCCAAGCGAGCCCGTGCGGAATCTCGGCGCGCGGCATCCAGCGTGAACGGGAATCGTCGAGGAGGGCACACGACGGAGGGTAAGAAGGCGCGAAAGAAATCAGTGAATTTGATCTCGGACGGAGGTACGAAGGAAAATCGAAACGTCGAACATCATTGAGGATATAAGTGGAAGTCGATCTATCAAGCTCGAGGGTAGGCGAGGGTCGAGGAAACGCGCGGGTGCCGCGATACACGGGAGAATCGGGAATCGAGAGGTGTAAGGAATCGACTGGAAAATCTCGAGGAAATTCTCGCGAGGTTACAAAGGTTTAAGAGACGGGGGCCAGGGGGCGAGGGGGGCGAGGAGGCCGGAGCGGTCGAGATCGCCGAAGATCGCAATTATCCGTAGCCGGCGTCTCCGATTCCCGATACCTTGAACGTAAGGGCCGAGTCGAGGATGCTCGCGAACTCTCAATCCGCTCGCGCTCGAGGACGGCTTCAGGAGGTCCCTCACCCTCTCGTTGTATATCTCCAGGTAACTGAAACAGAATTCAACCGACGTTACGCTCCGCCCGTTTGATTGATTGCGTTAATTTAACGGGCCGCGCTGATGGATTCGCTTTCAGCCGCCCGCCAAACTTCGGGAACCCGACCGCCCGCCGGGAATATCGAGTCGTTCACGGTTCCTTGAAAAATCCCTGGCTACCCATTGGACAATGTATCCGATTCGATCTCCCGCGATTTCTCCGAAGAATAGAAACGAGCGGGCGGGACAAGAGAAATGAAAACCGGTATTACGATCGGAGCGATCGTCGGGTAGTTATCTTGAATAGGAGACGCATTACTGTAAGTATATTCTTATCAATGACGAATATACGCGCAATGCCTTTTTCCATAAAGAAACATCTAAGAATAAACCATCATTCACACTATTTAAGGCGTCGAGCACGTGAAATTTCAACTTGAAACTATTTTCCCAGTTCAGTCATTTTTCCTTACTTTCGGACATTTCGTGCAGTCAATGGTATAATCGTTCTTGGAACAGTCGTAAGTTTCACTTGAAAACACGACTAAACTAGGAAAATAACCTTCAATTAAAATCTTAGGTGTCGAAAAACACCATCGGTAGGAATATTGCTAAAAGTATGTCATTTACATTGGAACAATTGCGTCGGCACGGTGCAAACGAGTATTCCGAAGACGAGAAACTACTACGTTCTATATTCTCATGCGTCAACCGGACTCCTCGCCGATTCTAACTCTCGATTAACGAGCATCGCGAGCGTCGGGGGCAAATCGAAGCGCTGATTGTTCCCGGGGAAGACCGCCGGCCGAAAAGCGGAGATTCACCGGATCGTGGACGGACACTTTTCGTCGGAGCGTTGCCGAGCAGGCGAGCGGACGGGCCACCGCAAGCTCCGGGATCCTCTTAACGTCATTATCCGGTCCGCTGTGCCCGTGAAACGGCCGCACGCGCGGCCGTAAATCCGCTTAACGGCGATCGGAGCTTTCCATCGTGCGGAGAAACACTTGCCGCCGTCGCCGCGCGGCTCTCGGCGGCAGCTTCCGTTCTTTGCATTCTTCACCTTTCACTTTTCCAGCCGTTCCGGGATTCCCCGGGATCGTTTTCCGGAACGAACCAGCCGAATCGGGAGGATACACGGGACGAGAAAGTTGGGGGACGCGGGAGATCGGCGGGAACGTCGATTCGACGGAAGTCAGCTGCGAGGCTTCCCGAGTTTCCGATGATTGAAATCATCGGGAGCATTTTCGAGTCTCGAGCCAGCCCGGCGAGAGTACTCGGGATCGCGGAAGGGACTCGGAGGCCTTTCACGTCACGTATTTCACTCACGGACCGCGCAGAATTGGAGTCGAAGTGGATAGGGTCGTCGGCGGTCAGACCGACGCGCGACGCTCGCTGGAAGTATTCGGAGCCGTGGACCGAATGCCGAGCGAGTCGTCCATTTCGGCGGACGCGTTTCCGGAAATTCGAAAATCGGATGGGACCAGTGATTTCTTTGGCCTCGAAACCCAGATACCGGCGAACTTTTCGGAATATGCGACGTTGCTTCTAAGTTCGCTAACGGCCTTAGTTCCGAGCTACGATAAGTTTCCAACATATTTCATCGAATTCCCCTGTATTCCATTTTTCTCCTATATCCCCGATAGTCATTATGTAAATAAACGGTGACCTTTTATTTTATCTACCGTTCTGCGATCGATTCGTTTCCTCGTTCGACGATCACGCGGCGCGAACTGATTTCGTATTTCTCTCGTTCCCGTTGCGTTACGCCTGCTTAATTACTTTCCTTCTTAATGAACGTCGATAAAGGTGCGCGCCTAGAAATATACGGAGCCGAGGATCGATAAATAATTCGAACGGGAACGGTTCGGCGCGGTGGAAAATGGCGGAGCAGGTGCAACGCGGAGGACGCGGCCTAGCCTCATCCCCGAAATTTATGGGTCGGACCGTCGATCGCGAAATTCCGCGGTGATTATTTCCCGGGAAGGAAAAATGCGCAACGGGTTACCTCCCCGAACCCGTGAGCAACGGGTTGCTTCCCATTTACGATCGCGAGATTCACTGGAACTCGCTAATAAGAAGACGCTCGTGCTCCGCGAAACGAAATTGCCCCCCCCGCCCTTAAAGAGTAACGGGCTGCTTTGTAAACTCTGCGGATTTTTATCGTCGCGGAGACTCGTCGGGCCGAATTGCGAAAAAGCTATTTAAAGTTTCACGAAGATAACCGGCGACCTTTTGTCCAACGGGACGCCTCGCTCGCGATCCGCGTCGCTCTCTCGCCCAGTTTCGCTCTCGTTTCCGGCGACGCCGGCCGGTTGGATAAGATCGCTCGGCGGAACAGTAAACGGGACAAAACTGAGGGGACTCCGTGCGACTCTTGAATACGGAACTCTTAACGTTCCGTCACACCCGATACAATGAATCGCTGCGGGACTTTACAACGCCCCCGACACCGCGAATATGAAATATATATCGTCGGAAGGTTTTGGCGAGAAGCACAGGTGTATCTGTTTTTTTATTTAAATGGACTACAACTGGCTAGAATTAAACTGAACTATGTATCTTAATCTGTTCTCCGGCCTTACGCACCCACATGTTACGGTAAATTCGATTAATAAAAATTATACATACCCCAGGCAATTATGCATAAGATTGGAGAATAATTATACACGATCACCGGAAATTAACCCCGCTTTATCATATTGCCCGTAACATATATAGAGTAGTTTTCAAAAGTTTCTAGTTAAATCGCTTTTGGAACATTTCCTCGATGGGATGAGTCTAAAGGGATTTCTGTTAACATAATAAGTGAGGATATCTTTACGCGAATGCTGTAATAAAATAATGAAAATAATTCGGAGGTATAATTCCGGCGCCCGTAGTTCGCCGAGGGCGAACGCTGACTTGTAAAAAATCGTGGAAGTGGTTCGCGAGAAAGTTTTCGAGTGGGCTCTCTCATTTTCATCAGCTTGGCGATGGCGCGACGAAAGGCCGTCGGGATGAGGCGAGTAAACGTAAGCTGGTTCTCGTGCCTGTCGGATATTACGCGGACGAACGGCGTCGGAATAAGAATCGATCGGCGTTCCCTATCCCGCGATAGAATATATCGCCACGTATAGGACAGTCTGGCGAGAGGAAAGACAGAAAGACAGTATAAGCGGTCGAAAAAAGAAAGAAGAGCAGGAAGGATGATTCGACGGCGTTAAGCTCGCTCAAAGTTTCAAGCATTGTCTCGAGAGAAAGGACTCGATCACGGGTTAACCCCTTGACGTACTATTTTCGGTAAGCTCGTGTAACACTTTACTACCGGCAATTTAGAAGAAAAGTGGCAAAATTTTACTACTTGAAGCGGAAATTTCATTCGAAGATAATACATTGATAATAGTATAGTGGTTACTATATTATAGATAATGAAAAGGTGGATCTCGAGTAATCGAGAACTAGGAATAAATATATGTATTCAATAAAATATGGGAACAACACGGACAACACGTGAAAAATACAACTCAATGCCGCAGAGGCCAACACACGACTCTTCTCTCGCCTCTCTTACAGGCATTCTCTCCCAAAAATCATTCTCTCCCCCACAGGCATTCTTCTCAACAGCGAAATAGTTATTTACTTTGATCCGTGTGTAACGAACAACGTTGTTCGTTGTCGAATTAGTCTAGAAATCTTCATCCACAGTTTCTCTCGTCGTTGTACGGCAAGGGGTTGCGGCTGCTTCGAGGAATCGAGCCGCGCGAAAATTGCAGGTCTCGGCGAATCTCGGGAAACGGATTGCTCGTCGGCTCTGCGACGATTTTCCTCGCGGTTCACGTGAGTCGGGCGAAAAAGGCTCCGCAAAGTTGAGTCCTCCACAGAGGGACACGCGAAGAGTTTACTGACCTGGCTTTTAATCTCACGCAAAGTCCAGTTTGACCTGGTTCGCGGCGAAACTCCGATCAAAGAGGACTTTCGTGTCTTCGAGTTCGAAGCGGGCGGAAGAATTGGACTGTGGGATCTGTTTTAATCTGTTTCAATCTCCTTAATCCTTCCTCTTCATAGACTCATCTAAATTTCGGGCCTCGCGCACTTATCCGTTTTACTTCACGCTGAGATTATTCGGATGCCGAACTTTTTTCTCGTATAATTCTAGGCGATACACGATGGCAACACTTGTTGATAGCGGGGAATCATCTGTAACACGTTTACGCGGACGTTGATGCAGAGTTAGAGAATTGGGAAGCCCCCAGTGCAACACGGCGTTCTCGCCTAAAGGAGCAGGAAATTCAAAGAAGAACTTCGCTTACATCGCGAAACTCCCGGAGATCTTGGTGAAAAATGAAACAAGCAAGAGTAACGGAGTTCGAGAAAAATGCGCTGCATAAAAGCAAATATGCTGCAGAGAGGAGAACGCGGATGTTCCGTGAGAAAGTTCTACTTACAGGAATGATGCAATTCCCTCTCGCGAGTCATCGACGCTTTCCGAATTACAATTTTGAATGTTCTCATTCCGAGCGTGATTCTTCGTATCAGCGTTTTCTGCTTCAATTTTCTCCAGAGTCTTCGAGACATCAATATTTAACACTAAACATACCGGTTAGATTGACTTCTTGAATCCCGACTTGAACAACTTCTCGTATCTATTAGCTTCCGATTTACAAAAAGAAGAACCCAGGAATGGGTCACGATTATACCGGCCATTATCCCGGCAGGTTTAAAAGAAAGGAACAAACGAAGCGCCGAGATTGTTATGGAGACTTAAAATCGCTGATTCGAAAATGAATGAACCACATGCACTCTCTAAGATAAGTTTATAACTTCATTATTTAGTCAAACATAACTTTAAAATGCACTTTTTTAATGACAAAGAAGGGTGTTAAATCTTTCACAGCCGCGCGCTCGTAGCTAGTTCATATTAACACTGATTGCTGAAAGGTTATATTAAAAACTGCTCGGAGTGCAAACGGTTGAACTCCATTGTTTCCTCGTTTCCCTCGTCGGACTCTATTATTTCTTATTCCATTCGGTCCG